AACAACACGTGCACAGCAGGAAGAAACACGGCTGAAGAGGACTAATGGCCACAAGAGACCCGGTTTGGATCCACGGATCATCAGGTTCCTCCCAGCGGATCTGAGCACAAGCAGCAGGTGAGTGCACGTAGCAGGTGTGTGCACGTAGCAGGTGTGTGCACGTAGCAGCACGAAGCCAACTGGAAACAACCTTGGCACAAGGTTTGGATTCTTATACATTTCTTAAATTTGTTTGAAACAAAAACGTAATGCTTACCTTAGCAGCTTCGTAATTAATACATCCATGTTTCCGCATAAAACCTGCAGGTCAGTGATGGAAGAAGAACAAACAGCCCCTTTAAAGATCTGAACTGTTGTACATTTACTTTACTTGAGCTGCAGATAAAGTGACTCCATCTTTTGGGTGGTGTCTAATTTACTCCATCCTCAAACAGAAGCACATGTTGACGTGTTGGATTTGATGTGTTGGGATGTTTGTATCAAAACAGCAAATCATGACAATCCCAGTGAGATAAAAAGCACCTTTTGGTAAAATATCACATGTATATTTTAACAGACGTGTTTCCTTATCTGATGCAGTAAAAGACGTCCTGTGTTGTACAGATTGTTCAGCGCTCGGAGGCAAACTGTGATTTGTGATATTGGGCTATTTAACCAAACAGGTGGGTACATAGTTATGGAGGACTTGGAGACATTGAGTTTCTATGTAGAGGAAACAAAGAGGATTTTACAGATGTTGAGATTATTTGTTGGAACGTTTACTTGGACTTACAGATTAATCTCCTTCGATCAATACAAAGCCAGACGATTAGAACCACAACTATGACGAGAACGACAACGAGAACGCAAACAGCAATCACCCAGCCAGGGTGAGGGGGAGGATCTGTAAAACAAAACAAGAACCAGATCAGAAGAGTCTTCCTGGTTTAAATGACGCAGCACAGCTGAGAATGTGTCACATGTTCACAGCCTGATGTGCTTCTGACGGACTGAAGTTTGGATTGTGAAAACTTCTTTAACGTGATCTATAGTAAGAAATCATTTGATTTCTTCAATTAAAACATTTTTAGTGATTAATGGTTGAAGGTGTTTTATGATACAGGGAGATGAACTCCAGCATTGTGATTGAGAGTGAGTGTTCCGTATCACTGCGCACTCAAAGTAACAGGTTAGCTTTTGCACAACCGTTAGTTGACATCTTAGCTTTTAGCTCGGTGGCGATTGCCCAAAAAAAAAGACCCGGAAATCCCTCAAAGTGTCAGGCAATGCCAGCTTTCGCAAGCGGACAATTAAGGTAAAAGCAATAAAGTACTTGAGGGTGTACTTTGTCGTCCAATAATGTAACCGTTGGGGGTGTTGTTATTAATGAAGTCGTCTCCTCTTTCAGTCTTACCAGTACTTTGGTAGCAAAGTTGTTCAGCATGAATCAAGTCGTGGGTCCTGTGAACCTGGTTGCTATGGATACAGATGATCACGTTTTCAACAGGTAGACCTGGAGAGAAGCCCCAGAGGTCGTGACCTCTGATCGCTCTCCTCCCTCCTGACTGCAGACTCGTTTAGAACATCTGAAAGTGCTGCTGATGTGAGCGTTGTGAGTCCTGCAGGTCACATGGAGGTCACATGACTCTGAGCTGCTGGAGTCCACTCGGCCCACGATCAGTTCAACTGGAGACACTGGTCCTGAGGGGGGGGGAGGTTTCTGTGAAGAGTTTATGAAACATGGCGGCAGAATCTATCCGTGAAATGTTTACAGACTCACCTTGAACTGTGACCTTGTATTCAGCTACTGTTTTTTCTCCCTTATATGTTAGTATTACAGCAGCATAAAGTCCACTGTCGGCCTCTTGTAGATTCTTCAATGTTACAGAGTTTTTCTCAGGAAACTCAAACCCTCCAGTGGAATTATGAAGAACATTTGGATTCCCACTAGGTTCAAATCTTACTAAAGTGACGGTTTTATTGATTTTCCAGTCAACAGCTAAAACCCCCTCAGGAAGATCAGCATCAAACTTCAGGAGCAGATCACGTCCCTTCAGCACAAACACAGAAGTCACAATGATTCCTGTAAAAACAGTAGACACATGATACAATAAACATCACACACAATATATGATGAATCATCCACTGCTGAATGTTACTCCATCACTACACTTTATTTATTACACATTGAACCAGCGGTTCACCTTCAGCTCATCACTGCTTAACATGAAGTGACAGAAGTCTCTTAAAATGTCTCACGTCGTCTCTTCCTGAGGACACAGAGAAGCTTAACAGCAGAAACTAAACCCACTGAGAGCAAGTTGCTGCTCAAAGTTCTTCTTCTTGACGTGACAAAGTATTTCCATTCTGTCTCTTTGTCCTCTTTCCCTCCGTCTCACCACACTAATGTCCCCCAGCATCATTGTGATAGAGAGTGAGTGTTCCGTATCACTGCGCACTCAAAGTAACAGGTTAGCTTTTGCACAACCGTTAGTTGACATCTTAGCTTTTAGCTCGGTGGCGATTGCCCAAAAAAAGACCCGGAAATCCCCCAAAGTGTCAGGCAATGCGAGCTTTCGCAAGCGGACAATTAAGGTAAAAGCAATAAGGTACTTGAGGGTGTACTTTGTCGTCCAATAATGTAACTGTTGGGGGTGTTGTTATTAATGAAGTCGTCTCTTTCAGTCTTACCAGTATTTGGGTAGCAAAGTTGTTCAGCATGAATCAAGTCTTGCGTCCCGTGAACCTGGTTGTTATGGTTACAGATGATCACGTTGTTCAACAGGTAGACCTGGAGAGAAGCCCCAGAGGTCGTGACCTTTGATCGCTCTCCTCCCTCCTGACTGCAGACCTGGTCGTCACATCTGAAGTGCTGCTGATGTTTGAGTTGTGAGTCCTGCAGGTCACATGGAGGTCACATGACTCTGAGCTGCTGTTGTCCACTCGGACGATGATCAGATCTACTGCTATGCTGCTCATGAGGGGGGGGGAG